CTGACATTGCCTAGCACATGGTAGTCCCTCAGATAATTAAATGACCTAATAAATACCTGAATAAGCAGAGATATACAGAAGTCTGAGGGTCTGGTAAAAGGGCTCTGTCAGCCACATGAGTGGAAGGTAAGGCCGCTTACATGGACAGTACTGGATGCTTATCTCATTTGATGCCTAGTGCCACCTCACTGAGCCCTTCCTAGCTACCATCAGGCATCCTGCCTACCTGGACTTGCCCTTCATGAGGTGACTTGCCTCACAATCAAGACTTCATTCTTACCACGCACTCCTATCTTCATACTCAGGTGGCACCTGAATCCATCTTGTTAAAAGGAAAACAAATAGACTTGAAGAGATAGTTAGTCTAGTTTGTAAAGAACTTGCTATGCAGGCATAAGGACCTAAGTTTGAGCCCCCAAACCCACATAAAACAGCTGACTCAAGCTTGTAATCTCAATGCTTGGGAAACAAAGATAATTCCTGTGGCTGGCTAGTCAGCCAGTCTAGTTGAATTGACAAGTCCCAGACCAATGACAGATCCTGCACCCAAAACAAAGGTAGACAGTCCCTGAGGATTGACACCCAAGGTTATCCTGTAGCCCCCACATACAAATGTCCCCATAGACACAGAGCTTAGTTCTCCGTCCCCATCTTGTATTCTGTGAGGTCTGATCTGCCATAGCCAATATTTCTGTTGGTTCCTGGAGTCTAGTGGTCTCAAGGTGTTTTCTGTTGCTGGGGACTGACTGGCTTTAAGTTCAGATACTGATGGATTCTTCATCACACACATAACTTCTTTGTCAGGCTGTCTTTTTCTCTCAGGTTCAGGCTACAAGACACAGCATGTGAAAATTGGGCATTTTTCTGATGATATTGAAGGAAATGAAGAGTTATGTAGCAGATGGACAGAGGCTTCCATAGTTCCTATTCCCTCTGAAGAATGCCTCCAGGGTCCTCATAAACAGCCCCTGCCAAGCTCACTCCACTTTATTATGCAGAATTTTTTCGCTCCCCATTTATCAGGTCTCTGTGTCCCAGAGAAAAGAGTCCCAACTTCAAAACCACTCTTATTTAAACATGGGGTAGGAGGAAGCTGAGGATAACAAAATTAAATCAGTTCTCTAAATTTCTTTTGCTTCCCGGATATGGGATAGCAAAAACAATAATAGCACATGCATTCTGTTTAGATTCAGGAAAGAATCTGAACATGTTCCAGGCTGCTTGATCACTAAGTTCAGTGCTTGCCACCATGGGAATAGGCAATGTCCTTCCACTGCCCAGGCTAATGGAAAAGGTCTTGGATCATTCCATCACCCGCTTCCCTTTGTCTACCATCCTGTTCTCTTCATCTATCATGTCTGCAAGGAAAAGAAGAAAGCTAGTGATTTGTGTCCCCACTGACGGAATTGTTGCTGCCTTACAAGGCAGAGCAAATACATCAGGTTTGAATTTAATGTTTTTTTTTTTCTTCTTCTAAAAGGTTCTTTAAGCTCTTCCTCTCAACTCAAGTCACTTTAACAAACACCAAAGACCCAAACTAGGAAGTGCTGCTGATGGTGTAGCGAGCAACACCACCCAAAATAAAACTCGATCCCAAACTTTCAGACTGTGAATGACAGCTGGGCTCTCAGTGCAGACTGATGCATTTTCTCCTTCCTTGTGGCAAACCATGTGAAGCCAGTTTGAAGGGGGCTCTGTGGGGAGTGCTAGACTTCATGACTCAGGCGTAGGGAAGCAGGGTGGCAGTTAAAGAAAGAAGCAAGTGAAACTTTTCTGTTCTGATAGTCTGGAAGACTGTATGCACATAGGAGGTCCAGAGTTGCTAATGCTATTGGTTCTCATGTTGCTATGCTACCACTGCTTTGCATGTGTGTGTTATCACACATGGCCTACATCAATAGAAGTTAGTGTGGACAGTGGACAGACAGGATGTTGACTGGGCAGTCCAGTATCCAGCTGTTCTCAATCAGCCTGATGTCTGAGTTTTCAGGACTTGGCTAGTCAACACTCTTCATACCTGTCTTTTCTTTCCAACTAGCAAGCACTTTGCTTTTCATCAAAGCCTCTGCCCCCTTACTCAATGAGCTTTTAGCTGACCTGCCTTACCCATGTACTGCACATTTTGGGGGGTGGGTCTTTTTGAAGCAGGATCTCCCTGTGGCCCCAGCTGTCCTGGAACTCACTATGTAGACCAGGCTGGCCTTGAACTCACAGAGATCCGCCTGCCTCGCCTCCCAAATGCTAGGACTACAGGCGTGCACCACCACGCCTGGGGTGCTGCACTTTTTAATGTAGGTATTGGTTACATTTCTTGTTGCTCTGCCACAATAGCTGACAAGAGGGAGGAATATAAAGAAGAAAGGGTTAATTTGGGCTCACTGTTCCAGGGTCTAGTTCATCATGTAGAGAAGCCATGGCAGAACTTTGGAGTGGCCTGTTGCATTTCACCCACAATCAGGAAGGAAGGAGAGATGAATGCTTGCCCTAGGCTCCCTTTCTTCATTTTATTCAGTCTAGGACCTCAGTATATGGAATAGTGTTACCCACATTTAGGATGGGTCTTGCCACCTCAATGAACTCAATCTAGAAACCCCCTCACAGACATGCCTGGAGTTTTGCCTCTTAGGTGAACTGTACCCTGTCAAGCTGACAATATTATCCATCACAAGATAGTCAGGTGTGGTGGAGGCCAACAAATTAGGAAACACCTGCGAATAAAAGGGGAATGTTTTCCTCATGATTCACAAAAGCAGGGACACCACAATAGGAGGCCACACCAGTAGGAATCAAAAGGCAAAGAGAGAGTGTCACCTCTGAGCAAAGGCCTTTGTGGTTTCCATGGAAAAGGACAGGTGAAACAAGGGAAACAGCCCCAGAATCATCTAGTTTAGGTAACTGCAAGGCTCCTGATCATACAGGTCATTCATTATTATTTGGTACCTAGACCTAGGAATTGTGGGCTGGTATGTCCAAGCTCCACAAAGGAAGTGTTGGGATATAAGTTCTGAATCCATTGGCTTTCATATAAAAGGTATGCTCACACTCATGTTCACCCTGGAAGTTGTCCAGTCTTTTTAGTAACTGGGTAACCCTGGGAGGGAAGCCCCCCTCCCCCAGGTGTCAAAGCATATAGAAACATTATCAGTGTACTTGGCCACCACTCTAATGCATGAAACTACATTGGCTGTCATCGGTTGTGAAGCTCACATTCCTTCCTCTCCTCCTCTGGCCAATGGTGTGAGATCCAGTTTTGCCCACTACTCCACACACCTGAATTACAGTAAAACTGCAGTGGTCAGAGCTTTACATCAGTGCTGTAAGCGCAGCACCTCAGGGGTTTTCATGTTCCCTGACTTCTTAGTTAGCCTCCTGAAGCCCATGTTTAGTGCTGCCATCTCTGTGAAAATCTTTGATTTGTGGCTGGGATAGGGTGACCATCCATACAGGACATGCTGGGATCAGAGCTCTACCCTAGGCTGTTCCTCGGGTACTCAAATGCTACCCCTCCTTTAAAATGCAAATAAAACCTCAGTAAGGTCTCTAGCCCACATGCATTTGCCGTCCTCTGTCTCTCTTCTGACATTTCTGGGCCTTTATACCTTTGAAAGTTATTTGCTATGCTGGAGCCTTGCACATGCTAGTTATGCAAGCTGTCCCTGAGCTACAACTCCATTCCATAGTTTGTGTTTTGTTTACTGTCAGTTAGTATGTGTGAGTTTTCTTGTATCTTCTTGCTGTGCGTATCTGGAGAGGACAAGGTTGATCCTGCTCTTCTTCATTTACAAGCCTCCATGTCCAAATGCAGCATGAACGACAACACAGAGAAGAGAACTTCCCTATGAAGTAATGGAAAAAACTATTGATGGTTTGTGTTAGCACTTGCATCTAGGGTGGACTCTGGAACTGGTTTTTTGTCTGCTTTTTACTGTCCACAAAATGAGGCTGTTTGCAGACATGACCAGATGGCATGTGGACTCAGAGAGCTCCCCAACTGTGGAGTCAACCGACATGCCTTTGAATTTTCAGTTCAGTCCTTCCACAAGGGGGCTCAGAATATCCTGTGACTATCATCGAATCTTCTGACTTGAGCATTATAGATTTCAATAGTATCATATATATGCATATATAAACATATATGTACATATGTGGTACATATATGTGTATAACTTGCATACACATTATATGTCTGTGTGTATGTCTATATATAATTTCTTATTTCTCTATGTCCAGCCTTTGAATTGTCTTTTTTTTTCACTGAATTAATTGCATTGCAAATACCAACCAAAATAGAATATGGTCGCCTGTGTGAGTATTTGCTGACTTTGTTGGCTGGTTGTGGCCCCACCATCATCTCCCATCCCCCACATCCTGCTGTGGCTTCAGGCACCCAAGTTCCCTAGATGAAAATGTCATCATTTCCAGGTAATATTATGGTCCAGTTAACGCAGATATGGCCATGGTAAGCTACAAGAAAAAAGAACATGTGAAAGACAGGACATAGCACCCTCCCAAAGTCACTTCATCTGTAGTGGATGTTTATGGAGAGCCTGTGTTTATAGCCTTCACAAGAACAGACAAGAGGAAATTGACTTCAGTTGCAAAGACAGTGTCATAGATAGAGCTTATCTGCAGTGCTTGGTTAAAGCTCTGTCTTCCTGATGGGAAAGAGTGTACCTAGGGAGCCAGTCAAGTTCCCTGACAGCCACCTGCTTTTACATGAATGGTTTCTTAACCTTATTTCTATGTTATCTCTTAAAATGCATTGTGTCTGGTCTCTTTCTTAACTAAGTAAAGATAAATATTTTTTTATGTATGTCACACATCTCTTCTTTCATTGTGGTTATTAAACTGGTGTTTTGCATTCCTAAGAAAGCAGCCACTGCCTCTGTCCATCCATTATAGAGCATAGGTTTCAGCGTGCATTAGTCCAGGCATGCAGGAATTATGCCTGTGGCTGAGCACAAACTAATTCTTCTTTCTTTTCTTTCTCTTCTTTCCAGGATTATACCTTAACTATGTATTTTCAACAATACTGGAGAGATAAAAGGCTCGCCTATTCTGGGATCCCTCTCAACCTCACACTTGACAACCGAGTGGCTGACCAACTTTGGGTGCCCGACACATATTTCTTAAATGATAAAAAGTCATTTGTGCATGGAGTGACAGTGAAAAACCGCATGATCCGCCTCCACCCTGACGGAACAGTGCTGTATGGGCTCAGGTCTGTCTGCTCTTCAGAGCCAATTTTGTGTTTGTATGGTGTACTGGCATTGAGTTTCTTACTTGATACCATTATAGTAAGTGAGGACATGTCCCCAGATTAATTACAAAATATCCCTGAGACATTCTGAGCTTTTCAGAAAAGAATATCATCACTCTAAGATTTGGGGCATTACTGTTACTATAAATAGTCACCAACAGTTACAAAGCAGAATTCTTGGATGGCTTGTATATAATTGGGTTGCCATATCTAAGAACACAGATTCCCTTAGGATAGATTTCCCATATCATAACCACAAAGGCCTGTAATTAATATTGCCCTGACACTGCAGAGACTTTAATAAAGTTTTTCAAAGCTAGTTGCACAGCTAAAAAAAAAATGTCTGCTGTGCAGATTTAATGTATAGTCTCATCAGGACAGTGCCATTAACATTTATCAGAATGACTGGGTGAGAGCCTTGCACATGAGAAACAGTTCTCTCCAGGGCTTAGAACACAGTCACTCACCTCTGAAAACCAGGCTGCCTTCCTACACTGTGTGGAGGAAAACCAGGGCTTCCCTAATTACTGGGAAATGACCCCATCTGCCCAACATGGTCCATCACGTCTGCTGCTTCCTTATTCTGATATCACTTTACTGAATCGTGTTCTTTAAAAAAGTCTCTTTCTCTTGCTTTGACTTTACATTGATTTGTTTGTTTGGTATAGAAGTGTGTGTGTGTGTGTGTGTGTGTGTGTGTAGTCCAGAGAGGCATATAGTGGGTGTGTGTGTGTGTGTGTGTGTGTGTGTGTGTGTGTGTGTGTGTGTGTGTGTGTGTGTGTGTATCCGTGTCTGACTGACTGACTGACTGACTGCTTTGATATCCTAGCTCAGAAGTGCCCCTTGAGACCTTCTAGGAGTGACTCACAGTTTTGAATGGAACACGTGGATTTCTTAAAGATTTGTATCAAATTGTTGTGATTCCAAATATATTCAAATCTATGCCACTGTGACTTGTAATGCCTCAAGTTGAATGAAGGACATTATTTAACTTTGTCTTTAATAAGAAAATGCTGAATGTCTTTTCTAATACGAGGTATTAGAGAAAAAGTTGAGATTTTTGCCCAATCAGAGCTTTTTAACGATGAGAGAAAAATGGCATATGTTAATAAAATCGTGATGTTACTTTACAGAACACCATGAAGTCCAGCCTGAGCTCTCTGTAGGAGGTTTTAGCATTTTCTCTTTTTGCTCCAAAATAAGACATATAGCTCCAGTGCTCTAGGGCTTCTGACAAGCGCACCTGTTGTGTAGAAGTTTATCAAGACTTTTTTTTTTTATATAAAATGGGAAGCCATTTACCTGCCCCACCTCTTGCCCCACTGAAGCAAAAGAAGGCGGTATGTGTTTGTGTCATACCTGCATCCATATGTGTGTATGAGTATGTGTGAAGATACTCATACACTTGTGAGTATGTGTGTACATGTGTATGATGGGGCAAACAACCAATTCAAATGTAAATTTAAGGTTAATTAAAGTTACTACTAACCTTTGACATCTTAAGTGCTCATAGCTAGGCTCCGGCCCTCTATCCTCTCCTTGGCTCTTCTTTTATTGTTGAACTTGCTCAGTCATGGTGGTGAGCTAGCAAGCCAAGTCTAGACCAGTCTGTATAGCCCTGACTGTATGTTTCGGTAAATAGGATCTGATGCTTCTTGGCTTATAGTAGTGTGAGGTCCTGACTGACCCATCAAAAGTTGAGCATATTGTAAGCTGAAATCATGGAATTCACTGAGCCTCTAGCATATTGTCCTTCAGCCACTGTACATGGCTGTTTCCATCTGGAGCTTGATGCTGGGGCTCCCTGCTAATACCCAACATCACAAGAGAGACTCAAACTGAATATTGGTAACCTTGGAAAAGAGCAAACTACAAAATCTGAAGTCCATTTTGTCTCGAATGCCTGATGCTATTGTCCCATCCCAACGTAAGAAACCTGAAGTCAGCCTTGAGAGTCAGGGTGTCTGCACTGTGTGTGGGCCTGGAGAAGGTGGGGCATAGCACACACCACCAGTCAAACTTTCCATAATGGAAGATTGTAGGTGCTGGAATGCTGCCTGTCTCCTTATGAGGTGCTACTGTGGAAGTCCCACCCAGCAGAAGATGCCTCCCTCCTAGCTGTGGATGGGCATTACACTGACTGTGCTTCTGAGACCTGGATTTTGAATTTTCCTACCCTTGGATATTGAGCCTGTCCTTCACCCTGTCTCTCCAGCTGTAACCCACACTGATTGTCAGTCATCACTTTGCATCTCTGGGACTCTTTTCCTTTACACACAAAGCATGGCAGCACCACTATCAATGAGGACGTTTGCTTTTTCTGGGATAGATGAAGATCTTTGGCTATGGAGAAGTTGTCCATGACGTAGATTAGTGCGTCAACTCAGTCTTATTCTGGGAAATCATTGATCCTTCACTCTGCTGATGGAAGGCAGTCCATGACTACTCACGCAGACACTTGAGAACAATCATGTTCTCATGGTGATGAAAGGTCATTGGAAACTGTGAGCCACATTTCCTGACTCTTTCAGTGCCTTGAGCTTGGGACTTGGAGAGCGCTCGCTTGTGCTCACCATCTTGGCCACAGCTGATCACAATGCTGATTGAGTCTCTGGCACAGACCCAGCTCACTGTGTGATGCTGGGGAATCTTTGGATGGGGCACCGTGCTGTATTGACACAGAATGTACCCTTTAAAGTCCAGGGTATCAGGAAGGTCTTAGTTACCCAGGGCCTCTGTGCTTGGGGACCCTCCTTCTGCCTCCCGCACAGCTGCTCTGCTTTGCCCTGCTGCCTGTCGGAAGGTGAAGCCAGACCCCTGTCCATCTTCTCTGCCTTCTTTTCTCCAGATGTCATTAACTGTCTTACTTGGCCCCATTAAACATAGAATATTTGCTCCATGCTATGCCTGTTGTGCCAGGGCTTGATAAGGAAGTCACAAGTAGAATTTTAAAGAGCTCCCAAGGGTTGAGTCATGTTCACCAAGGCAAGGTACCATATTTTGACAGAGAAGCTCATGTCAAAATCGGTTGACTACATTGTAATATTTCCAGTTGCTGTTAAAAAAAAGTAAGAGAAATGGTTAAAGTTGCTGTTCCTATGGTTAAAGGTCGTATGAAATATTGTTAGAGACTAGACTATATTTCAAAAGATTCAAATCAAGTCATCTAATTGGTTTTGCTAGCTTTTTTATTCTGAAGCTGTTTTCTACAGTTCTTTAATTCAGCTACTATTTTATCCCAGAAAAGGTGTGAGCTCACGGAGGTGTTGGGGCCGACATGTTTGCATGCAGGTTTGCGTAAATCCTGAATACTTCTTTTGTTACTATCTCTCAATCATTTTTATGTAACTAAATATCATACTGATAAAAATTGCCTTCCAGAAGGGATTGTGCCAGTTCACATTCCCACCAGCAATAAAATGCATGCCAGCTTTGGGATTCTGACACTTGCTATGGGATTTATTATTATTTAGACTACTATAATTAAACTACCAGTGTTTTTCATTCTGAAGGCTGGAGAAAATCTTCATCTCACTTTAAATCCCAGCTCGATCCATCTTCTTCCCCCAAACGAACTTGTCTTTTCTCTCTTAATAAGGACTTCCCTTTTAGGTCCCCTCTCTACGTCCTTACTCTCACTTGATGGTGTGATGACTTTAGTGTGAAATTCACTGCTTTTTTTCCCCCATTGCAAAGAGGCCATCGGACATGTGAACAGCTTCTGTTTTACCTCCTCTCTGGCAAAGGAGGTCGGTGACCGTTTCAGGACCCATCCCTCCACTTGGTCTGGTCCCTCTGCTGTAGACTTGGCCCTGTATTCTAATCTTTTTCTGAACCTGCCACTGTTCTTCTGACCCATCACACTTCTTCCTGCTCTTCAGAGACATCAGGGATGCTCCCTGTTTGGGGACCTTTGCACATATTCTTGTTTGGATATGTCTGTCTGTAGATATTCAGGTTTTTGTCACCATTTTAGGTGACATAATTATGTAATCAAAGAGAATTTATATTCTTATCTCCTGTAAAGAGCTCTGTTCTGAAAATCTGTTCACTTTCCAGTCTATCACCTTCCAATGTTATTAAAGCACTTAACCAGATCTAACATTATCTTATCAATTTATCAGGTTTCTTATCAGCTCACTGTTCTCCTCTGTGACTATGGAAACCAGCCACCCTGAGATACAAACTAAAAGAAGAATTCTTCCTGTTTATTTTCTGCTCTGGCACAGAGTACTGTTTGGTGAAAAAGAAGTATTATGTGTGGGTTAAATCTGAATCCCAGTTCTTCTTATTTAGTGCAATGTCTTCATATTTCTTATTTCCATTTTTCTCTCCATTGGAATTTAGCTCTGTGTAAGACATAACTAGCTCTTTTATTTTTGATATTAGTCAGCTTTTTTCTCCTGATACTTTTTAGTTTAATTTTCTGTATGAACTTTAGATGTGATGTTTGTTAGACTTATGATTATTGAGCAGTAGGCTGGGAGCATGTTCGTTATTCCTCCATGAACACAGGTCAGCATTCCTTCTGTCCACAGTTGCAAAGTTTCTTTGTTTCCTCCATTTCCACCCACTCATTGCTTAATAAATTTATTCCTTTTCAAGAAATGTGGAGAAGTGGATCATTTCCCACTGTTTTCAAGCTGGCTTTTCCTGATATGTGTGAGAAAAGCTATTGCTCTATTTGCTTCAAACTATCTTTATATGTGTAGGTATCCAAAGTCATCCATCCAGGCTAATCTGTTCTAATTCCAGCAGCATTTGAGTTTTACAATCCTATTGTTTATCGTGATGATTTTTTCCTCATTTTAAATAGTTTTTTTTTTTTTTTTTCTCATTTACATTCCTTGCTCTGCTGCATTGACTGTCACTTCCAGAGCATCGAGAAACAGTGGCCAACAGCATACCGCATGCCTGGCTTCCTTCCTCCTATGACAAGGCTGCTATCTGCCCACCTTCAG